AGTAGATGTGGCTTTCCCTTGATTTAGCTTTGTATGTACATTTTATCATTGTTCTGTGAGCTTCTACATGACTTTTCACATTGTCAACAATTGAATACAATACATATGACAACCTGAAGAGCTCCTTCCTTATTGTGTCGTGCCTTTAACTGGACTGACACAGTTTCAATTTAGTAGAACTTCTTTGTTAAGCTGCTTTGACACAATCTACATTGTAAAAGCGCTATAGAAATAAAGATGAATTGAATTTAAGGAAGTGTTTTGTGAGGTGCATTACATGAAATATTGATCAAGGGGAATGGTTAATTGTGTAATTTAATTTGAATGTTTTTTAAATTCATTTCATCATACAATATGATCATTTTAGCATACAAACTATTGTTGTAAAGTGCAAATATGTGGCGTATAATGAACAGTTGGGTTAGAAAATACTGTATGAATACTGTAAAAAAAAAAAATAAATAATAATAAAAAAATAATATATATATATATATATATATATATATATATATATATATATATATATATATATATATATATATATATATATATATATATATATATATGGCTGATTCCAGCGTTATGGACGTGACATTTGCAGAAAAAAATGAAACTTATATACTCGGAGAATGTATATGTTAACAGAATATTGAAATATCTGTTTATATTTTTATTACCCCTTAACCATGGAGTTTAGGCATCAAAAAAAATATCAGTCTATGCAGGTGTTTTATATTTAAAATGATGGCAAAATGAATACGTTACGGACGTGACAAAAAAAAGACATGAGTTTTGTGAGTTGACATACTTGGTTAAAATTCTGTGAATAAAAATGCAGAAGCCAAAAATATTTATAACAGTCAAAAGGATAAGGGTTGGCTCTGCATGGGACATTTATAATTCATTTTATTTAGTTTTTCATTTTTGCATTAATGAGGGAAAACTATCGTTACGGACGTGACTTGTCTTCGTTACGGACGTGACTGCTCTGAAATTGACAGTTGACACATTATGAAAATCAGATAAATGCTTTCAAAACTTGACAAAAGACCTATTTGTGGATATCTGTTGGGTGTGTAAACCAATAAACTTTAACCTCTGAGACATCTGAATGGTAAGGTTGCACAATTAATCAAACTTTAATAGATATCACCTAGTTATATTTAATTCGTATTATGGCATGTGTGGTGTTAAAGGTTAACGCACGTTCGAATGTTCAAAACTCAATTCGGAAACAGTGGTGCATGCTAACATGGTGCTTTTATTCTCTGAATAATATAGAATTGATAATAAACATAATCAGCTATAATAGGCCTATGTTTATCGGGCTCCTTTCCAGACAAACTTGAATTGAATCATTGCCCGACTGTTAGTGCGCAAGACTGTGTCTACGTGGCAAATATTCAAAATCTAGTTGTGTCACAGTTATGGCAATATTATATTTGACAAAGTTTATTTTAGTTTATTCTAGTTAATGTGTTAGTCGATTGAATAAATAGCTTAATTTGTCCACTCGCGCTTGCTTTCTTTTTCTCGTCGGCAGTCACTTCAGGACAGGTTGAAAAAAAATAAACAGAGGACCAGTATGAAAGAAAAAAACTTTATTATGAAAGGTTTTGTGAAAAATAGCCATTAATTGCAGGCATGTACGATGGATGACTAATGTTTATATTTTTAGGCTATAGTTTATAACCGATTGTGTAAAATATTGAATGACATTACAGCTGCAGGTGCTATCGATTTACTAACAAATTAAATCCTCCTATAATGTAGTTAAAGCTTAGATCAATATCAAGATTTTATTCTTATTTTGCCGCCTGTAAAATAATTTTAATAAGCACTCAAGCACATTTGCCGGGTGCTTGAAATCTTTGAAAATGTTTTCATTTTAATGTAGGCTATAGCCTATTTTCCAGCTTTGAAAGTGCTTAGATTTTGGATAAAGGGCTTGGAAAATTAATTGTGTTGCTATGATAATTTATCTTAATTAATATTAAGATAATAATAGTTATTTAATTAATAAAATAAAAAACATATTTATGCTCTGCATGAAATGAAAACTCCGCTGTGGCCTGTGCAAGTGCCTGCAGCCTGACCCACGGCGTGCGCATTTTGAGCAATGGGAAAAGACCAAATGCATAGAGGTTGATTTTGCGCCCTGCATGCGCGCCTCGCGTTTTGCCATTGCCCGCTTTGTGAGCTCCAGAGGAAAAGCATGTTACCTCAGTGGCGTCTTTCATTCTTCAATCAAATGAAAGCAGAGGCGGGGTTTCCTTTGAGGTGACAAAGTGTGTTGTCAAGATACGGCGAACTTTTTAATAACGGAGTAGAGACTTGTGGTCGCTCTTTTAAGTCATCCAAAGTTGTATGACTTTACAAATCTTGAATTTCATAATATTATTTTAAAAATTAAATTATGACAACATTGACAGCAACATTAGCGCACAATAGACCAGCTGATTCAGTTGTTACCAATAGTGACATACAAGAAAGCACCGTGCTCCTTTTTTTCTTTTCAATATAAAATGCATTGCGGAGCGCCTCACGTCTCTGGAATGAAAAAGCGCGTTCGTTGTGATCGGCCTCTATGAGCAACACATATTTGTTAACTCGCAGAACAGTAACACGTGCAAACACGTGCTTACAGATGTATTTTGCCAAAGAAGCAAAATGAAAGAAGGATATTCTGGCCACAGTTTGACACAGGAGTTGACGAACCAGCGCTGATGCTGGTCGTCTGTGCAGCCTGGGCCGCGTCATAAACTCAACTAGGTATATTGATGATTTAGTGCAGACTAACCAACAAACCATTTTTTTTTTTCCATTTGGAAAATAACAGTTATTATTAGTTCTTATATACATTTTTAAATAGCCTACATAGCCTAATCTACAAATCAAACAAAGCCAAATATTTTAGGATAACTTCGCACACGCTGATGCTTTTCTTTTACAGCTTATAAAACATGTATGCAAATTAATACAGTATCACATGTAAATAACAAAATTGTTATATCCTTAGCCTATATTTAACAAAAAGTATAGGTTCAAAGCCTTATGGTTCATTGTCATTATCTTTCACTAAGCGCGCGCACATGAACCGCAAGTAAGACAGAGGAAATAGGCTAATAAATCATAATTAAGACATAATCTTTAAACTAATGACTTCTATTAAAAATGTTGACAGGTTTTGTAATATTATAACAGCGGAGCATTAATTGAATGCATTTTTTCCGTAAAGCAATCTATTTGAGCTAGCCTAATATTTTTTAATTGACGGAAGAAAAAAAAAACACGATTGGACAAACAGTCTATGCCAATTCTTAAAAAGCATTCAGTCAATGTTTTTGTTTTGTAATCTTAATTTGTCATTTAAGTAAAAAGGTTTAGAGCAGGATTTATTTTATTATTTTTTTGTTAGTTTATTCAGTTATTCTGTGCTGCTAAAAAACACTGCAGGTGCGTGAAGATGCTCCTTCTGTATGCTGTTTGCATGTTAAAATAACCTAAATCAGTATTTTAAAATGCAATATTTAATGTGTCAGACAAAATAGGCACGTCAATTTTTTTTATTAAATAATATTTTGATATTAATCTGTTAACGGTTTATCGCTTAACGAGCGGTTGTTGATTGGCAAAATGAATCGAAATCAGCATTCCTAGTTTGGCATAAATTGTATCTTAACTATTTGATCTATTATTTGACGGTCAGTTACGTATCTACAAAAGAAACAAGAAGTGCTTCAACACAAGGTGCTGCATCGCCAAAACACCAAGATTATGCACCAAGATTATGGCATGTAAAATGTTGTTCTCTTTATTAAACATTTATTTTTGAAATGTTACTAAAATGGTTTATAGCTGAACTATAGCTTATAGCTAACTGAAATGTTCAGTTCTTGATATAACATATGGATGTTATGTAATGTAAGTCAGTAATTGTAATGCAGCATCATAATGAACAAATATGCGCTATACATTGGCTTATATTAATAAGGAGTTCAAAAATGGTCACGTCCGTAACGCAAAATTGTAGTTGTTTAAAGCAAAGACCTGAGATGAGTTGGCGATCATAATTAGTATGGACATATTTTAGCTTTGTATACAAAGTTTCATTTTATTTGTTATAATATTTATTCCACAATATAAACTTTTTCATTGAATCGTTACGGACGTGACACGTGACCGAAGCTGCGTGATGTCTTAAATATGTAGCTCATAAATCAAAAGAGCAGTAATGTTATGAAAAAGTAAGGGTAATTATTTATACTACAGACTCCAATCCTTCTGCAGAATGATTACTGTTAACATAAAGCATGGAAAAGGTGAGTCTTTAATCCCTTTTTCTAAAGCACGAAATGTGGTTGGATTATAATGAAATTTACCATTGGCACAATCCTCATATTTCATGGATAAACAAACCAATTTCCTTAAAAATTTAACAAGAGCACATCATTACAATAAAATATAGACCTTAATGAGCAAATTTAAATAGGTTTTGTTATTTTGGTCAAAAGTTTATTTTTTCATGATAAGGTTGACATTTTCATGGAATTGACCATATATATATATATATATATATATATATATATATATATATATATATATATATATATATATATATATATATATAGTCATGACCCCAGATTATGAAACTAATCCAACAAACCCTCATAGCGAACCAGGGTTTGTCATCACAGCACCCCATCTACCACCCTCCACCATCACAGTATGTTGAAACAGGACAGAGCTTTCTGCTTTCAAGTGTAATCAAAGGTCACAGGGTGCCACATATAACCACTGCAAATTTATTTGTTTTAAAAAGAAAAGAAGTGTGTAAACAGTCTTAATGTGAAACTGGTGAGTTTTTCAGAGCAATAATGTTACATAGTGGTCAAGTATTGTGAGTCAGTACTCAACAGAGGCTTTCCTTCATATTTTATCCTGTAAGAAATACATGTGGAGTGCTATAAACACAAAACAGCTGGACGTATTTAATGAGGAATTAAAAATGACACTTACAGGAGGCATCTCCTCAGCCATAGTTACAATATTTAATGTTCTGTAAAAATATTAATCAGAGAAGATGCAGAATGAACTATTTTCAGGGTTAAGATAAGTTTAGCTGTCTTCTTAAACCAGGTGTAAAATAAAGCATAAATCAGAGGATTCAGACCTGAGTTAGCACACACAGCAAATAATAAACCATTTATAGTTGTGGAAGAGTTTACAGTTAAAGAACAGATAAAATATGGAATATAGCAAAGCAGATAAACAGACACAATGATTCCTAAAGTCAGAGCAGCTTTACTCTCAGATTTCCTCTTCACTAAACCCTCCGTTACACATTTACCACCCTTCATCAGAGAGTTTATAACCTTCACTTGCTGATGAACGACATAGAAAATCCTCAAATATAAAGTGATGATAAGAGTGCAAGGAAAAATAAAAGACATGAACAGATCAGTGACTATCCAACTAAAACTCATCATGACTAAACACTGTCCATAACACACATCTGTTTTGAGTGAAGTGTCAAAATATCCATTATTGGTTGAAAGGGTAATGATATAAGCTGATAAACAAACCCAGCTCAGACAGATACTCAATAATGTTTTAGTGATGGTTATTTTCTGTGGGTACAGTAAAGGGTGACACACAGCCACATAACGATCAACAGCAATTAAAACCAAATTACTCAGAGATGCTGCAAGAAGTAATGACACAAAAAATAAATGAAGTCCACAGAAAGTGTCTCCAAAATACCAACAAGTCTCAATCAGTCTGATGGCCTCTACAGGCATGAACAATCCAATTAGCAGATCATTTACAGCCAGAGAGAGAATAATCATGTTGGTTGGAGTGTGAAGCTTCTTGAAGTGAGAGATGGAGATGATCACCAGCAGGTTCAGAAACACAGTCCATGCTGACAGCAATGACACAAACACATATATGATGTTATATCCAAGACTTGAGCGTCTCCCCTTGACACATGATGAGTTGATGTCAGGAAAGCAGTATTGAGTCTCCTGATCCTCTGTCTCGTAGGCCATGAGTGAGTCTCCTCCTGTTAGGAGTTTGTTCTGCTCTCCTCTCTGTCTTTTCATTTATACAGTGTCTGGATCAGACCGACCAACCCATTTACCGCCCACTCTGATGTAATTTATTAACAGTATGATTTGTTTTCTCTCTTTCTTGAACATGAGGTTTAGAATATGATCTTTTTTTCTGTCCAGGTTAGAATTGTCTTATTCTGTTTAAAAGTGCAGGTCAGCTCAAAAGTGTGCTTTGTTGTTTCTGTGTCACTGTTTTGTTATTGGTTTCTATTTTGACTTTGATGAAAATATTACACAAAGGCCAAGTTTGATATTCAGTTTGTTAAAATATTTATTCTATCTGCAGGATAAACCACTGGAGCGTTTTAAAGCTGCGATTCATCAGCGGATTGCTCTTACTGTATGTCAGCTGATAGACAAATCAGCTGATGGATGTGACTTTAAAACGCTCCAGTGTCCCTGTATCTGTGGTTGCACTCAGTAAACAGCAGTGAGTTTAGTGAACTGATGACCTTCATGGCCAATCACAGTCATTTCTGTTGAGCACATGAACACAATGGCAAATCAGTGCTGTCTAGGAACGTACTCAAAAATGGAAGTTATCGTGACAATCCTACACAAGATGGCTCCATATAGTGAAAAATAGTAGTTTGACAGACAAGCAGATACATATGAATGTGTTTATAAGTGTACGGGTGTTAATATATTCATGTGCAGTCAAGTTTATTTAAAGAGTTATGAAACCCCTCGCTTTCAGTTCAAGTCTGCCTCAGTTTTTTTTTTTATAAAAAAAAGCTCCATGATAGGTGTCTAGCGCTGAGACACACTTGACTTTATAATTTACAAACTTAAAATAAAACCGTTATAAGTAAACAGTAGATAATTTAATGCCCTGTTACATATACAATAGCAGGGCTCGAATTTGCGACCATTTTGGTCGCATATAGGCCTAAAATTTTACCTATGCGACCACAAAATATATTTGGGAGCATTTGTGCGAGTGCAAAAAATAGTTTTGTGCGACCAGTTTTTACTGCAAAATGTTCACCACATCCGCGAATTCGGAAGACATTCACACAGAATGCATCTCTGCACTTGAAACGCAAAACACAGCGCTCAGGAATGGTTTAAAACAGTGGTCCCCAACCCCCATGCCGCGGACCGGTACCGGTACGTGGATCAATCAGTACCGGGCCGCACAAGAATTAAAGTTGGCAGATAAAGTAGCTGCATTTAAAGCCAACTGGATTTGTGGGGACGGCGTGTGAACAGAGGCATATTGGACATGTTTCAAAGATTAGCGGGGATTTTGTGTGAGACTGAGCCTGCGCCTTCACTCACCAAGTTGGTGCACCATCACCAGTCTTCGCTGTTAAAGGAGTTTGAGCCCTACTTCCCAACCTCAAAGGACCCACAAACGGCCAAGGAATGGATACGTGACCCATTTGTCAACAAACCAGCTGAATCCAGCATGTCCGTGAAAGAAGAAGACCAACTGCTGGAGATCGCAAATGACGGCGGCCTTAAAACAGTGTTCGAGACTACAACTCTGCCGGTGTTCTGGATTAAAGTCATGGCAAAATACCTAGAGATTCCTAACACAGCGCTGAAAACCCTGTTGCCATTTCCAACATCCTATCTGTGTGAAGCGGGGTTTTCTGCAGTAACAGCCACCAAAACAAGGCAAAGGAGTAGACTGTACACAAGCAACACACTTCAGGTATCAATAGCCCCTTTCACACAGTGATACCGGTAAATATTAGCAAAATGTCCAGAACGACTTGACCAGTAAATTCAAAAAAGCGCTGTTCACACAGGCGAGGACGTTACAGAGTTTTTCCGGAAAAGAGTATTCACCCATCCATTCCAAAATACCGGTAATTCTGAACGGTGGACTTGTTCCAAAGAGCCGACCCCGCAACCATACGGGACTAAGCCCAAAGAAGAAGAAGACGACAGTTAATAGGGAGCCAATGCAATGATGAAAGAACTGGAGTAATATGATCATACTTCTGTGTTCTAGAAAGCACTCTAGCAGCTGCATTCTGAACTAGCTGAAGTTTGTTAATTAGGAAGTCGAAGTTGCACTGCAGAAATGTGACACTGCTAAAATTCAATCACGTGAAGATCATAACGTCTGTTTAGCTGTCAGTGAACATGTCAAGTCAATGATCAAAGAGAACATGCAAAGAGAAGTCTATGCAGGGAGCTGTACATTTGTCAGAGAGAGAGAGAGAGAGAGAGAGAGAGAGTGAGAGAGAGTGAGAGAGAGTGAGAGAGAGAGAGAGAGAGAGAGAGAGAGAGAGAGAGAGAGACCGCACATTAACTCTCTAAGTGCCATTTCAGATCACTTCCAAGCGAAAAATAGTAATTAAATGACTCACTCTGTCTAACCTTCAAGAAGAGCCCACAGTAGTGCCTCTGTCATGACTTGACAGACTTGACTCATGTTGCTTCTGTCTCCACTATCCTGATCCAGGGACATGAATATAAGCTTGATTGCCTGTTTGCAATTTTTAAAAATATCGATATTATTTAGGTAGCTAGCTTGCGCATGGTGACTACTGTCATGTGTGCATGAACACACAGTCCACGTAACCTTCGCATGCACATTCTCTCTCTCTCTCTCTCTCTCTCTCTCACACACACACACACACACACACACACACACACACACACAGAGAGTCAGGTAAAAAACTTTTTTTGAATTTTTGTGAATGAAGCACTCTGGGACAAATGTCCGCGTGTGACCAATAGCCAGCCAGCCAGACACAAGAGAAAACACTCCATGTTAAAGCTGCTGTAACTTTCACAAATGTTTCTCTGCCTGCATCAAGCCCAGCCGATGTCCTGCCTCCAAGAGCCATATACCCCAGCGTGATGGGTGGGTTTGTTCAGCTCCACACACAACACTTTAAAGTGCCATACATATCAAACTCGCGGGCCGCAGTGATATTAAACTTTCAAATTAAGGCAGGGGCCACAAACTATCGTGGAGAGTTTGAGACCCCTGTAGTATAGTAATACATTATTATATCTGTTGGTTTTGTTAGTTTTATTATGTGGATTGTTCATGTGTGTGACTGTGAATAAACAAGATTTTTTTTCGTTAAAGTGAAAACAAAATAAACTTTGACACTCTTAGTAGATGTGGCTTTCCCTTGATTTAGCTTTGTATGTACATTTTATCATTGTTCTGTGAGCTTCTACATGACTTTTCACATTGTCAACAATTGAATACAATACATGTGACAACCTGAAGAACTCCTTCCTTATTGTGTCGTGCCTTTAACTGGACTGACACAGTTTCAATTTAGTAGAACTTCTTTGTTAAGCTGCTTTGAAACAATCTACATTGTAAAAGCGCTATAGAAATAAAGATGAATTGAATTTAAGGAAGTGTTTTGTGAGGTGCATTACATGAAATAATGATCAAGGGGAATGGTTAATTGTGTAATTTAATTTGTTTGTTTGTATTCACGTTATCATACAATATGATAATTTTAACATACAAATTATTGGTCTAAGTGCAAATATGTGGCGTACAATGAACAGTTGGGTTAGAAAATACTGTATGAATAAAAAAAAATATATATACATATAGTAATGACTTAATGAGACTACATATTATTGAAACTAATCCAACAAACCCTCATAGCGAACCACGGTTTCTCATCACAGCACCCCATCTACCACCCTCCACCATCACAGTATGTTGAAACAGGACAGAGCTTTCTGCTTTCAAGTGTAATCAAAGGTCACAGGGTGCCACATATAACCACTGCAGATTTATTTGTTTTAAAATGAAAAGCAGTGTGTAAACAGTCTTAATTTGAAACTGGTGAGTTTTTCAGAGCAATAATGTTACGGTACTCAACAGAGGCTTTCCTTTGTATTTTGTCCTGTAAGAAATACATGTGGAGTGCTATAAACACAAAACAGCTGGACGTGTTCAATGAGGAATTAAAAATGACACTGACAGGAGGCATCTCCTCAGCCATAGTTACAGTAATTAATGTTCTGTAAAAATATTGATCAGAGAAGATGCAGAATGAAATATTTTCAGGGTTAAGATGAGTTTAGCTGTCTTCTTAAACCAGGGGTAAAATAAAGCATAAACCAGAGGATTCAGACCTGAGTTAGCATACACAGCAAATAATAAACTATTTATAGTTGCAGAAGAGTTTACAGTTAGAGAACAAATAAAATATGGAATCCAGCAAAGCAGATAAACTGACACAATAATTCCTAAAGTCAGAGCAGCTTTACTCTCAGATTTCCTCTTCACTGAACCCTCCATTACACATTTACCAACCTTCATCAGAGAGTTTATAACCTTCACTTGCTGATGAACGACATAGAAAATCCTCAAATACAAAGTGATTATCAGAAAACAAGGAAAAATAAAAGACATGAACAGATCAGTCATTACCAAACTGAAACTTGACATGAACAAACACTCCCCATAACACACATCTGTTTTGAGTGAAGTGTCAAAATATCCATAATTGGTTAGAAGGGCAATGATATAAGCTGACAAACAAACCCAGTTCAGACAGATACTCATTAGTGTTTTAGTCATGGTTATTTTCTGTGGGTACAGTAAAGGGTGACACACAGCCACATAACGATCAACAGCAATTAAAACCAAATTACTCAGAGATGCTGCAAGAAGTAATGACACAAATAATAAATGAAGTCCACAGAAAGTGTCTCCAAAATACCAACACGTCTCAGTCAGTCTGATGGCCTCTACAGGCATGAAGAGTCCAATTAGCAGATCATTTACAGCCAGAGAGAGAATAATCATGTTGGTTGGAGTGTGAAGCTTCTTGAAGTGAGAGATGGAGATGATCACCAGCAGGTTCAGAAACACAGTCCATGCTGACAACAGTGACACAAACAAATATATGACGATATATCCATGACTTGAGTTTTTTCCTTTGACACATGATGAGTTGATGTCAGGAAAGCAGTATTGAGTCTCCTGATCCTCTGTCTCGTAGGCCATGAGTGAGTCTCCTCCTGTTAGGAGTTTGTTCTGCTCTCCT